CTGTTTGAATTTGTTGGTGTATTCATCCATGGAACATTAAGTGTTTTCTTTCTATCATTAGTATTAGGACGATTTGTTGTTACTAGGGAAATATCCATTAATTTAAAATATGCTTTTCTGATTCTGTAATTTCGCCAGTTATTGCATCAGTTACTAGTGATTTATATTTCATTGTACCAATTAGGATTGCTGATGTTAGATTCTTTGGTTCTTGGTTACCAATATATTCTTATGAATTTGAACTGTTTGTGTTGTTACACCTGACAATGTTACATTGATTCCAATATGTCAAAATCTAGTTCTGGCATTAATTTAAAAAAAAAAATTAATAAAATTAATAAATGCAGTGAATTAAATTAATTTTTCACTTTGCTGAAGAATACATACCGAATACCATCCTTCACATGTGACAAATTTTCCAGTTATAAATATTACTTGCTCATCAATATATGGTTTGATTTTTTCGTCAAGTGGAATAAATGCTTTTATCTTTAGATAAAAGATCGTATTTGGATTGTCTTCTTCCATTTTTAACTACTCCAGTTATCTCTTTCACCAAAAATTCTGAAGTGATACGTTCTGCCCAATCATATATATAACAAATAGTAGTCAGTTTCGTGGCATTTTTGGTTCTAAAAAAAAAATTTTTTTTTAAAAACGTCCTTTTTTTTTAATCATTTTTTTTATTATTTTTTATTATATATGGCACAGTATTACATATTTTTTTTTGTAATTAAAGAACTGCTAATCTGAGGAGGGTGGGTAGGACGTTACTCGTATAATCGTAATCGTAATCGTAATCGTAATCGTAATCGTAATCGAGTAGCGAGTAACAAATAGATATAGTAATCATATACGAATAAATAGAAGAAATAAAAACCCAGGTATATTTTTGATCGTTTTTGGTAAGATTTTCTTACCAAAGGAGAATAGTGACAAATGTTTTAAAATATCCTTTTCAAGGACTTTCCAGAAACGGACAAAACATTAGCTCCAAAATCTATTCTACGATAAATAACGGTTAGAATTTTCTGGACGAAATTAATGAAAGATATTAGAATTTGGCAAAAATAAAGAAAATCTTTTGAAAGCATAAAAATAATTAATAAGATTAATAAGTAAATTTTTAACTAATATCAAAACAAAAAAAAAATCAAGATATTTAATTATTCCATTAAAAACTAATAAAAAAAATTTTTATAAGCCAAAAGGGAAGTCTTCCTACAAATAAGTTATGACCAAATAAATGTTAATTGCAGAGAATAATACTAAAAAATTATTATGTGGCAGGAATGTTTAAATTCCTTACATACTATACATTTTTTTTATGGCAAGAAGCTTTTCTCGTGATGAACTTTATTAAATAAATACAAAATAATTACAAGTGCAAAATACACTAAACACGCGTGAAATATATCAAATATCGACCTACATTGCTTACATTGAGTAATTAGGTTAAAACCTATGTTGATTAAATGTTAATGTTCTTTTAAATATATTTGAGGATAAGATATTAATATAATTTGATATACGGGAGGAAAGCGTTAGCTTTAATTCGTATCCAACTAAATAACTTTTTATTTAAATCTTTATACCAAGAAAAATTTATTATAAAAAAAATATCGCAAAATTCGAAAATACTATTGAAAAAGATTAACCTATACCAAGTAATATTTGTGAACGGCAATGCCCATAGTTACAATAAGATGTATCGCGCGAATTGCGCGAGAAGTTACCTTTCTGTAACAGCAAAAAAAAAAATAATAATAATAAAAAAAGATAAACAAAAACAAATAAATTAAGTTAATTAAGGTGAGGCTTGATGAGGCTGATGATGTTTAATTACGATAATTCCTTAAAAAAATATAGATCATAACTTTTTCTGGTCAAAAGTAGTAGGATCATGTTTACCGTAAAAGCGAAATTACAACCAACTTCTACTAGCACTGAACAATCCGATTCTGAAGATACTTTGGAACAGCGTAATAAAATAACTATCGTTCGATCAAGTAGTGAGCCTTCATTGACAAAGCCGGATCCCGTATCAAGCGATTCTCCAAAATTTCAACCAAGCTCGCTAAATCCAGATTTACTTTACGACTCAGCACCCTATTCACCATATCCTCCTGAGATTGCGATTTTTGAAGCTACCTCTCCAACACCAACTACTTACCTCAAGTTTGAAAAACATGTTGTAGAACATTTTAGTAGCTTACCGATTAAAGTTGAAGAAGTGGTGCGTACCGCTGGTGGGTTTTACACGACGTGTTGCAAGAAAGTTTTCAGAGTAGATATGTTGAACTTAGTCCTTACGTGAGTGTATTTCCTTAAAAAGAGGTATACGAAGGCCATTTAAGTTGGTCAACGGGTTACGCTGCTGTGGTTACCTTAACTTACTGTTACGTATGGAATTACAAAAAAGATCATGAAAAGGTTAGTAAATAGAGTTTGTTTTTATTATTTATCTTTATAAATATTTTTTTTGTCTTCTTTTATAATAAAATTTTTTATATTTTTAGCAACCTCTTAAACGACCCGATACTGTCTACAAATTTCAAATGCCAATTTGTAAAGATGAACAACAACCAAGTTCAAACAAATCATATGATAAACTTCCTTTGGTTTGTATTATACCTTCAATCCAAGGAACCAATCCAGGATTGATGGTTTGCACCCCTGAAGGTGAATTTCGTTATTGGGAAGATATAACATATGCAATGACAGAAGCCAATCGGTACAAGAGTTTGCAATTACATTTACGAGATAATGATCGAGGAATTTATTTGACATGTCATGAGGTATGTACTATTCAATTTGTATTATTTTGTATCATGATTATTATTTTTATTATTCTTCTTCAAAATTACTTTCCAAATTTACTTTATCGAAATATTAGATCAAACGATCTTTACGAGAAAGTTGGACAATAATCTTTGGAACAGAACGTGCAGCTTTATATCGTATAAATATTTTTCAGTCAAATGGGAAACCTACACTTGATTATACATTATTTCCTCGACCAGGAGGAATTATGTCACAATTAAGTTCATATATTTGGCAAAGTGGTAATACCAGTGATGACTTCGGTAAAAAATTTCACATAGACATAAATATAAAAATAAATAAAATATAAATAATAATAAAAAATTACCCAATTTTTTCAAAATATCGGTCCATTGATCACGATAATTTTGAGCAAAATTTTTTTCTATTATATCATCACTGTTTATAAGTTAGGGTTAAATAGGTTAGATAAAATATTTAAAAATGTAACATTCAAAAAAGAATATGACTATTAATTAAGTATAATGATTATTATTATTAATACCAAATCAAACGCTGTGCAGTAAGTCTAAACAAGACATCTGCCAAACCAGACAAATGATCTTTGAGCTTTTCTATTTTCATAGAATGTTGAATATTATAATCATCAACTGAATAGAGTGATTTATTGGAACTTTGAAGAGTATAATTCCTAATTACAATATCCGTTTCTTCAAATTGTCTTTGTAAAACTTTTAAAAGCTCAGATTGATCTAATATAATGTAAACATAAGAAAAATAAATTTCTCTGTAGTACTATAGAATAAATATAATACAAAATCGACTTACATGTCCAGGATCCTTTGGAATCATTTGTTGTGATTGCATATAATTCCTTGTTATTTCTTCTAAAATCGAATGCTGCATCAAAGCAAAGCTAAAAAAAAAAAAAAAAAAAGTAATCGGATGTTATAAATATAAAATTTTCATTTGAATCCGTCCGTAACATAAATAACATAAATAATATAAAGTAATAAATAAAATATAAATAAAAAATATAGATGTATTTAAAATACCAGTATGATTGCATTTGCTTCCAACACTGTTGTACTTCTTGCTTCAGTGTCAGATAAAATTTCGATTACTCTTTGTATGTGGGTAAAAATAGAACCCAAATCTCGCACCTAGCAAAATCAAAAACTTTAATTAATTAAATTTAAATTTATAAACAATTCAAATTATTTTCTTACGCGATAACGAAAGAAATATCTAGAGATATCTTCAAGTGGTTTAATCTTGATATTTCGATCTTGGATATAATCTTGAATTGCATTGGTCATTAATTTTCGAAGAGATTCTTCTAGGGCATCTCGACTAGAACTTAATTAATTCATGAATGAGTCTAAACAATGAATAAAGTAACAAAAGTAAAATTTTTTTTTATCACTTACTTATAAGACATGTTATAATATTCCCATAACTTTTTCGCACATGCAACTTTTTCTGAATTCCAAAATAATTGTTGCCTTGAAGAATAATAAAGCTAAATAATAAACAAGATGTAATTACATGTTAATTATATTAAATTCTATTAAATTCTATTACTTGAGAATAAAATGAGAATTAAATTAATCAAATTAATAAATACTTTATCCATAATGTTACTGTTATTAATAAATTTAATAAGATTAGCCATTTTATTATCTCTTTCATTAAGTTGAAAACTTAAATCATTCAAATTTTCCATAAATTTGGAACCTATTAAGAAAGTAAAAGAGTTATTGTATAATTCATATAATCCTTTTTTTTTTGTTATTTAGTGTTAAAATATTTACGTGATTCCAAAATTTCATCACTAATTTCCAGAACAACTTGATTAATATCTCCCTTGAAATCAGGTGAGAGAGTACATTCCACTGGAACCTAAAGTAAAACTTTCGAGTCAGAATTAAAAAATAACAATCAAATATACAAATATATAAAAATCAAAAAAAAAAATCATTACATTTTGTCCGCCTTTACGAAAAACTGCTTGTTCTAGTGTGAACTTAAGCTCTCTATTTATTTTAGCCTATACAAAATATTTATTCTAAAAATATGTATTTGATATTTCGGAAAAAAAAAACTTATCAATAATAAAAAATACCTGCGAATCCTCTATGTCCATTTCATCATATCTTTAGAATTGATAGAAAATAAGTTAAATCCATCATTAACGATATTTATATTTATGATTAAATTATTGATAATTTTAATAAAATTTTTTTAATCTTACTTATTTTGAGGTGATTTTTCCTTGATTTCAGCAACATTCAATTGACAAGACATAACACCAGTCTTAGTTGTCAAAACATGAATTTGACTGATATTATCATCTTTATCTTTAAAATGCCAAGATTTAGAACCTTCTGCACAAAAACCAATGATTCTATCGTTTATCGGATCTCGCATTGTTACAATATTATTATAGTTGGCTCCTGATATAATTTAATAATTTAAATTAATTATATATTTATAATATAATATATAAATATATTTTTATATCTACAAAGATAAATTTTAATATAAATTGAATCGAAACCTTTAATTGTTGTTGTGAGAAGTATTGCCTGAGGAAAAACCACAAAAACTGCTGGACCTCCATTAGGCATTATTAGATGTGCCTGTGGTCCAAGCGATATATTCTATATACAAATAGATAGATAGATATATATATATATATATATATATGAAAGATATATAATAATATTCAAGTAAAAAATATATGTGTAAATAAAATAAAGGGAATAAATAAATTATCGAATTAAAATTAAACATAATCAATATTTAATAAATGGCTTACACTTTGGACTTTTAGAGGAATACATCTAATAATATCAAATTGTCCATTGTCAGATGTTAATTCTGGTATAGTTAACACTATTAAAAAATATGACACATTCTTGGTTTCATCAAATTCCATTTGATTTGAATTTGGAACACTGGATACAAGTAACAACAATTCTTCATTTCTATTTAGGAATTAAAAATTATGTCAATTTCTTTTACAATTTCGATCTCGTTCAGTATCGCCTGTTAATCCCATCCATCCATCCCATCAAATCTCATCAATCTCTATTATCAACCATTACCTTGCATATTCCAAATCCAATAATTTAATTTCTCGATCTTCAGTCTCAAAACCTCCGTCATTGTAACGAATTTCTTGTACAATAGATTTGTATATATCATAACCAGATGAATACTTGAACGAATATAAGAAGTTAGAAATATTATATTCACAAAACTACTTAAATGGATCTAAAATTTACCTTAGGGGTATGATTTCTCGTTAATGGAAGATCCCATTTCTCCAGAGATTTTTCTAACAACACATATGTTCCACTGCATAAATAAATGAATGTGAACTTTATTTTCAGTAAAGCTAATACTCAATATACATCCATCCACCCCCCCCCCCCCCCCCCCCCCCCCCCCCCCCCCCCCCCCACCCCCCCCCCCCACCCCCCCACCCCCCCACCCCCCCCACCCCCCCCCACCACCC